TCGAACGCACCTCCGCAGCCGTGATGATAACATGATAAATTACGCTGCTTGATGATTCTTAAGCCCACAGCGCATGGAGCTGTTTTGGGGATCCCTGCTGTGTTGTAGGTTTACAGGGTTTGTGCCCTATAATTTTGAGCATAACCGTCACGGTGGTTTCGGTGAGAAGGCATTGCAGAGGAAGTGCATGAACAGAATTTGTTTCACTGGCTTTGTCGCAGAGTCGCGAGAGATAACAGCTTGTTCATTCAAGTTTTCTGGCTTTCGGATTGAAGGTTCAGAGCTTGTGGGGCAGATGCATGATGGAGTCTCCTGCGCTTTACAACCTTATATTTCCTTTGAAAGACTGTCCTCAGTAGGTGACAGCACGCCAGACTCCAAACCTGCATGTAAACACACTCCACTAATAACCGTGTAAATCTTTCAAGTGTGACATAGGAGCCGGCCTAAACCATCAAGCCCAGAGCCATCAAAGTCTCACCCTGAAGCTTCCGAGCCGCACCCTGAGACCTACACAGTGAATCGATAAAAAGACATGCACCATGATGCAAGAAACACGAAGCAGAAGCCCTCTCAACGCCCAAATGTGACCTTCGCACCGACCCATGAGGCGGCTCAGGCGATAGGTGGCATTCTGTACCTTGGACATTGTCTGCAGTACCCATGATAAAGAACTTGGGGCATTTGATTTGCCAGGATTTCTCGGGATCCCAGGCCACGCAATGTACAGGCTTTGCAAGTCATTATCTCAGATCCGGGGGTGTATAGTCTCTTATAAGGAAGAAGGACTGCTTAGAACAACATGACCAACATGAGAAGTCGGGACCGGCATTCGTCAGGAGATCACGTGAAGCAGCTCAACAGACGTGAGGAGGAGAATAATTACGTCTAGTCCTGCGGCAGTTCAAAGATTCGCAAAGCAGGTTCCCACACCTCAAGCTTGGCAGCCTTGAGTCATTTCCACCTCGTAGTCTACAAGGGTTCCTTCAGATTTCCACCCCACTGTGACTTCACCCAAGTTCTTCTTCGGAGGGAGCATGCCAAGCGCAAGCTTGGTGGTGTATGTCAGGCTTACCACCGATTCAGACAGGAATAAGTCCTCCTGGGGAGAAGCATCGAATCAATGACTATATTACTATATCAAGCCAGCAAGGCATTTCGAACTGAAGCAAGCAGGGAAGGAACAACACCCTTGGTGCTGAGCTGATAGAAGCAACTTCTGCAGGTGTCTCAGGACGGTCGAGATGGAGGCGTCCTCACACGGGACAGAAACGGGATCAGCCTTCTGGGCCATCTCAGGTGAATCAAACTGAGGACCCAATTCAGGAATAAATGTCTCACATCTCGAAGCCTGGGAGTGTGCAACTAGCTCGTGTGGCTACCTTCTGGGGGAAGAAGCAGCCCTATAGTTGTGACCCATACCACTCTCGCACATGAGATCGGAGATCTGCATGCAGTCCGACAGCTCGGCGCAGGCAGACGCAACTTCTCGACATATCTCGGCTCAATCAGGTTGGTGCAAGGAATTTACTACAAGAATAAAGCGCCTGCTTGTGGGTTGAACTCTGTCAATATCTCATGACAAGTCGACATGATGGACGCAAAGTATTGGAGAAGATACCGCCAGCTTGACATCGCTACGGGCGGCATCGGCGGAGGGACATGCCATGGAACAAGCTGTGCTCACATAGGGCATCATGACACACATATCAGACGAACTTGGCAGCCTTCTTGCACAGGCGTACACCCATGAAATCATCCCTGATAAATAGAACCTCTGGAGCACAGGCTGGGAAGCAAACATGCAACTTTCTGCGCAATGCCACACGTAGCTTAATGAAGAGACCCTGTGTCAGTGCTTTGGCGCCCGCTTAAGATCTTGAAGCTGCTTTCAGACCCTATGTAACGTGTTCTGCGTTTTTGTAGAGACCGCGGGAGTGCTTAAGAAACTTGTCCTAATTGGTCACAAGCAGCGCCCTTAATGCTGACAGCACGACAATCCTTTGAATATGCTCGCCTCCAACCTGCTTGAAGTGTCAGGCTGTTTACAGTTTGCGCTTGCACTTGCTAGAACTCCCCAAGACGAGAAGAGGCTGGAGTTTGAAAGGCCCCGGCGTGCGTTTGGGTCTCATTCAGGAGGACGTGCTTCGTGACGATGGCACGCTCCTGAAGGTGGCGGATACTTACATGGATTAGTATGGATCCCGCTCACAGAGACTTTGGGTTCAATATGAGCTTTGAGGAAGGTGGCGGAGTCCTGAACCAAAAAAATCTCAGTTCTTCGGGTGCGGACATTGTCACAGTGTGCTCATCTGGTGCAAACACGGGGATCAGACCGCGGTGGGATGTGCGACAACCCCCTGAGGAACTTTACCAGAATTCATGGAAACCTCGCGTGGCCATCCTTGGTCCCAGATTAACCGTGAAGACTGGGATGTTGTGCCCGTATCCATCCGTGCCGAGAAGTTCAATTCCTTCCAAATCGCTAGCCGAACTTGCTCCCGAAGCCGCGGCACTTCGCGCGCGAAGTGCCCTCAACTACCAAGCAGCCCCATGTAGCTTCAGCAAAGGCGGTGCTCGTCTAGGATATCAGCACATACGCGAAAATCCAGGTTGATCAGGCAAGACATGCGAATACCCTGGGTTCCACTATGCAGCCGTGCCTCTCACCGGCATCGGCAAATTCCAACACTCAGCCATGGTCCTGACCCCGAAGAAAAGTCTTCGCAACCTCAGAGTTTAAAGGAAACCTCACCTCATCATCTGGGATGCTAAAACATACTCCTCTCTCCCTGAAATTCCCATCAAAGACCTGGCAGTGCTTTTTTCTCAGGGCCTTCGGCCGAGAGGTATGGGGTGAAACAGAACTGATTTTTCAGGGCTTCGAGAGTGCGGCTTGTGGATTGGGTGTGAATCCGAAAGCCCCAAAACCAGTGCGCCGCTTGCACCCGTTGCTTGCTTGAATTCCTCTTTGCCCTGCAAACTTTGGCACTAAAAGCAACCTACTCAGGCCTCCCATGGCAATGTTCTGGCTTACACGCGAGTATTTGAAGCGAAGGCGCCGAGCCAAGGCAACCCGAATACATTCCACACAGCAGGAATCTCTTGGTCTGGACAAGACACGATCACCACTGTGTCGATGGTAAACAGGCCGCAAATTTGATTTAGGGTGCTCAATTCGTCTGAAAGCACTGTTTCTTGGCTGAGCATCGCAAAGGTCCGCAAGAGAATTGGCTTGGGACTACTGCTTGCTGAAACCTCGGGCTCAAAGCACTTACTCCTTCTGCCTGTCTTCGAGGCTATATTGCAAGGCCCAGAAACGCCTAGCTGCGCTTAGCCCATGAAAGGCACGCAGTCACCTAAGGCCCAAATTAGGGGTTCTGCGAAATAAGCATTCCAAGGGTGGCCTGCTAAGACTTGACAGACATCTCTGCCAACTGCTGTCTGGACAGCGGATCATCGAAGCGCTCTCGCTTTACGCCCGTCTGCGGAAGTGTCGTCCTCTCTTGCGCTGGAGATTCAAACAGAGTTCGGAAGGTGCGGGGGAAGTCGAACAAACGGCGTTCGGAGGTTCGGCTTTTGCTTGGAGTAGCGAGTGGGTTGTTTAGAGGGTTAACTGGCTGTGCACGGCAAAACCTACTGCTGCTGGGCGCGTGCGACAATGGAGCCCGCCTGTTGCAGCTGCAATGGGTTAGTATAGACATGGCAAGCACAGCAGTCAAGGGTTTAGGTTTCCCTCAACTCTTGGTACAACAAGCAAGGACTTCAGTATTCAGGCACCTAAGAAGTCGTTAGGATGTGTATCTCACAGGTTTCCACCCCAGTTTCGGTGCTCGCTCTCAATCGAAACCTCACTCACAACAAAATCGCCGTGAGGTCCTTGTGGTGGGTTGCATGCACACGACACCGTCGTTAAACACCACAAAGGATCTTCCCGTTGGCATGACAAGGGTATACCTGAGATGTTTGTGACGGTCCAACTTCTGCTACCACTTGAGGGCGGGGGATGAGATTGCAAGGAAGCGGGCTGCTTTGTTGAGGGTTGGGGGACACAAGCTAGCTAAAGACACCAGCGGAATGGCACTGCGAGAAGCGTGCTTCGGATGTAAATACAATGAGGAAACGTGGCAAACTAGGGAAGCTGCGAGACAACTGCGGCACTTAGTTATTGTTCCGCTTGGAGTACTCAGTATAGTCCGAGTCCAGGATGCACAGTGATACTTGTGATGCTGGGGTCTCCTATATACTGTCGAGGCATACCCGAAGTGGTGAAGTTCAGCAGCTTTAAAGAACACAGCGTCGCTTGTCCAATAATGATTCCAGCATCTCTTCTCATGCCCCGGTGCCGCTGGAAGGGAGGGCTGCCAATCTGCCAGCGCTTCCTGAGCTGCTGTTTAGGGTATATAGCAAACAGTACCACAAGGTGCACATGGAAAAGATCATAGTTTTGTGGAGCCATTCAGAGTTTTAGTAATTCAGTCATTTGCTCGGGCTGTCATATTCCGATATTCAGTACATCTAGCGCGTCCAAATGCAGATCTGGGGAGGTGGCGTTAGGTAACATACTCTGGCATACATCCCATACCCAACATGCTAGAGCCACAGCCACGAATGCACGGCCACTACATGTCCGGGCTTCTGATCGGCTGGGTCTAGAAGCATTCGCCACTCCTGCCGAAGGCTGCCAGGCCCCCTATGTCTATCAGAGCTTGGACTTGGAGCTCGAGGCTTTTCAGACTCGGACTGCACGGGGTTCAGCCACCAGGGCTTGGCTTGGAATTTAAGACTCGAAGATTAGAGCTGCATCGGCTTTGTGAGAATTCAGACAGAATCGCCTTGCTAGGAGCATTCGGGGAATTCACGCAAGGACTGCCCACCACTCCTCCAATGGCTCAAAAGCACCTGCGCCGGGATCCCGTGTTGACTCACGGCTGAGCGTCTAGTGTGGCCTCTGACCTGTCCATCCAAAGATCTTTATATTCTCAGATGTTTAGTTTGATTCAGAAGCCACCAAAGCCCCAGTCCTCCACCATCTGGGACACCTTGCCGTACAGCACCTCGATCTTCTCTTCCTTCGCAATACTTCAAGGAAAGCCCGACAAAGAGGCAGACAGCCTTTCAGCCCATGTGAAAGGCCTTTTGAAAGGCATCGCTGCAGGCAACCCTGTATCACTGCAAGACAGGCTTTTCAGCTGAATCTGGTCTTTGGGTAAACGTGCCAGTCCCTGAAGTCATACAGCCAAGCTAACCGAATGCCAAGACAGAGTCGCAATTGCAGCTTGAATCGCTAGAACTCCCAGGACCTCAGCACTGAAGCCTTTGGCACAGATGCTAGGTCAAAAAGGCCCAACAATGCCCAACAAGTTGACCTCCCTCAGTCCAAAAGGGCCTGCGAAAGTTGAGAAATCCTGTTAGGGCGCTACGCCGAGCCACGGGATCTTCGACGCGACGACTCTCCACGGAACCTTAGTCAGAAGTGCAATGACCAACCGTGCATCATAAGAATGCGGCCAGAGTTCTGTTTTATAGAACTTGATCGCACGATTTCATAATCGCACTTATGATGAAATCCATGGATGTGACGTCTCCTTGAGAGCATAACCAAGCGGATGACCGATGCTTCAAGCCCATTGGCCGGCAAAAAACGTGCAGGACAAGTAAGCAAGACTCTTCAAAGCTGCAACTTCAACTTTAGGTAAAACATGGCACTTTGGTTTGGAGAGAATCATGCCCAGAAGAAAGCCGGAGGGCTCAGGAGCTTAACTGCGTTGAAAGCAAGAACGCGCAGCCGCAACTGCTCTTCCCAAATCGGGCTGGGCTGGGGACATGGAACATCACAACTGTCCAACTCTGGCAGCCTTACGGGGGCGAAAGGAGCCAAAAGCCGGTAGAACTCCTCAGTGTTGCCGCATTTAATTGCTACACTTTTCACGTGTCTTCATCTGAAAGCCTCTATTTCTTGTCACTAAGAGACATCTCGAAACAACTGACCAAGCCCTAGGCCTTAGACTCGCGACATGCCAAGGATGATAATTTAGGGTTCCTAAAGTCTGAGACTGCGCGCTCAGTCACAGTTGTGAAGTTCAAATCTTAAGTGGAAGTCCACACATCCAAACATGTACGCTGTCCCAGGCAAGGGGCTATCAATGAAGTCCAAGGCATCCTGCGAAGTAGTCTTGCGGAGGAGAGCCATGGGCATCATGTTCCTGGGCTATGGGATGCTAGGGAGGGAAGTGGGAGGACATGCCAGGCGGACTGCTGTGTTTCTCGGCCTGGAGATTTACTGCGCTGCGGAGGACTGGATGAGTAGTAGGCCCTTAACAAGAAGCGCGACCAGCTATTGTCGTAGATTGTGTACAATGCTGTTGTGTTCGTGCCTGAATATGGAGTGTTCGTAGGTGTGACGTTGAAGACTGAAGACTGAAGGACCACTTGGAGGCCCATGGGACGTAGTAACTACTTATAACCTGGGTTTATAACCCTACCCCTAAATGGGCTTATAGGAGTTACCCCCAAGTAGAAGTAGGGTTATAACCCCAGTTAGAAGTAGTTACTAAGTCCCATGGGCCTCCAAGCAGGGTCTGGGATTGGGCTGCGAGAAAGGGAATAGCATTGTTTTTAGCAACAGGGGGATTTGCAGTTTCCAAGATGCTGTTGCAACGACGAGGAGCCTGCAGGGAGATATCATACACATCTTCCTATGTGGCTGAGTGCTTGTAGTTTTGCAGGGCAGATGGCTTGGGGGCTGAGGGCGAGAAGAGCAGAGGTCGGGGTGGCGGGCTGAGGGGGCGGGCCCACGACTGTACTTGCCACACATCGTGCTGAAAACGCACGCCTCTGCGAGCAGGTAGGGGTCTCTATCGGCAAAGATGTTGCAAGCATCATTGTGCCGGCATACGCTGAACTATGTCCACAGCATAAGGATATCCTGGGCAGACTTGCGGATGCCCGTGAGAAAGCTTTGACACATCTCTTGCTCTGAGAGTCTCTACTTCTAAGTTCCCACTAGCAAGCATGAGATTATGAGAGTTGGAAAAGAGCTAGCATGAGCTCTCTGCTAGAGCGCCGCCATGTCGCCATGCATGGCAATTTGAAAATGGCTCGATGATACTGCAAGCAAGGCTTTACCCGTAGACAAAAACATTCAATCTGTTCAGCAGCAATAGCAGCGACAGTGGCAGCCAACAAAGCCAAACAGGGAGTGCTCCAAAGCCAAGCCGACAAAACAATAGTTCTGCCAACAATGCCAGTGATGCTAATCTCAAGCGCCGCAAATAGAAAGCCGTATTGCTCGAAACCCTAGCTTGATGCCGAGTCTCCGCTTGCGCATCATAAAGCCTTTGCTTGACGCTGGATTACAGCAAGACCCGAATGACAGAAAGATATCAGGCAAGTACCGGTCTGAACTACTGCCACTGCAACAATACCCACTAAGTTCTGCAGGGCAAAAACAAATCCTCTAAATGAGTCCTTTGCCTTCACCTCTTTGACCTAGAGTTTCCGCACAACATATTTGAAGCAGACAGGGAAGATTCTAATGGACGTGGGCCTCCAATCATGAGCACAAACAAGGCCACAACACAAGAGAAAGACACCAAGTCTCAACGCCTTCGAGCCTGTGCGGTTTGCAGTCAGGCTGCCCGCGTGAAAGCATGAACCCCGAGGAGGCCCTACCTCTATGCCTCTTCAAGCCACTACATTGCCCACATCCCGGGGGGGGGGGGCTTGTTGCAGATTGAACATACTTGCTCATCTGGCGTAAGCACCCTTGCCTTAACCAGACTAGAAGCCGCAATAGCCCTAAACTTTCTGAAGTTCACAAATCCGCAAGGAAAATGCCGGCCTCATGACACCCCTAAGCCCTCAGCACGCCAACAGGTACGAACCCATGAAACCCCAAAGACATGCTAGTAAGGCCAGATGCTATAGAGCTGGCCAAAGGTAAGCCCGCGCCAGTTGGGAGGCACTTCGACCACAGTGAAGGCGGCCTGAACAAGTTGAAGCCAGTGGGGATCCCTAGGTTACACATAAAGGCGCATTGGGCTGGCATAGGGACTGAGGAGACTACATTGGGATTGAGGTCCACATGCTTCCTGAACAAGTCAGAAAACAGCATTCCCAAAACCAAGGTTACCCATTGCCATATTCCGGCGCTCACCTTACTTGTAGGAGCCTTCATTGCAGGCTTAGATTTTGACTTTCCGCTTGACATTGAGGGTGTCCGGCTCTGACCTTGGGGATTGGGGCTATGGTTGGCCCATCCAATATGGTCTGACACAGAGATGGAAGGGCAAGCAAAGATTTAATGACCCCTCCTCAGAAAACTGGCCATGCAGCCAATTCCGTACATGTCCAGGATGCTGCTGTGCTCCCCTTTTCTGTTCCGCGACGTTTCGAGAGCTGAGCGGATCAGCAAGCCCCAAATGTTGAAGTCTCAACTGCAAACCTCCATTCTGGTAATCAAAGCTCCCAATGCCTTGGACATCTCATCGATGACAGCAGCTAGCGAAGGCTGGAACATGACCTCATCTCGATTGCAGGACAGTTCTACATCACTGTTTGGTTTGATGCCAGTGGCTTCAGGTACGCTTTCAAGCATGGGCCTCAGAGTTTCGGCTTGTGCCATGTAGGATCAGTGAGATTCAATTCAGAAGTCATGGATGCAAGCCTTCCCATCTGTGGCTTAGTTGTCTGAAGCCAGTATTGTACCTTTAGGAATAAATGCTTGACTGCAGATATACAGAATCACAGGTAGACTTCACAGCCGGATCCTCGATCCTTTTGCTTTTTTCCTTTCTTGGTGGGTATAGATTCAGGAGTGCTGGAGGTACTGCAGTGTGAGCCCGGCACCCACGGACAGAAGCCTTGCAGAAACTGCATCTTCAACAAGTAGAGAGCCCAAGTGGGGTTCTTTTCATGGCAGAACAAACAACTCCACTTAGGAAACTCCGAGCTACGAATGTAGCAGCCTGAGCAAGTAGCTAGGGATACTATGCGCTTAGAAGATCTTGTCCGACACGCTCCAATAAAACCAAGATTCCAGTCATTTAGGTTGTTAAATTTGGCAGCTGAGGAGCATTGGCCATGAGGCAGGTCAGAAGATTCGAGCTGATCAGCATGCCACTTGCAAAGCCTCGGGGAAGGTGTTCTAAACCATTCGGGGCGACAGCTTCTTTGACAAAAGTACAGTAGCTCTTGCGAGGCCAGTGGGGTAAGATTATCCCTCAAGGGAAACATGTTCTCCAAGCATTCTGCTCAAGGGGAAACACAGACATCACAAGGAGGGCACAGCAAAGTGATTTCAAGAGTCAAACATTTTAGAAGTTTAGGTGCAATTAGGGCCTGGCAATGTTGAAGACTGGCTGGGGAGTTGGAGGGCTATCTGTGGAATCTCCGGAACAAGCGCTGCCGCGTCCCCTCCAAGACTCCAAGCCTTACATGCATACAAAACATCTCTCTCGGCCTTTGAACATTCACTCAGGTTCAACCCCGGTATCGTGACAAGTTTAACGACCCGAGATATGAAGCAGCTCCAAAACACAGATCCGCATACATGCGTATGCATGTACAAGAGCGGATTTGTGTTGTCAAGGTCCGTTCCATGATGAAGCTTACACCTCACACGGTCTGCAAAAGGCTTCTTGGATTATCTCCAGGAGTTTCCGTCATGTTGAAAGGTTGAGACTTGAGCACGAAACTAACCCGGACGCATCACCTCGCTGATCCCAAAGCCTGAGACCTGCTAAACCCATACAATGACAACAAACAATGAAGCTGAGCAGCGATGTTGGAGAATAATCTGCTGCATCTCCTCCCATTGCACAACATGGATCCATTTGAGTCTTCAAAGAGAGTGGGGATGGCGATGAATGGCTGTTGCCTGCAAAATATCAAAATACGAGGATTTCTCCTTGAGGGTCGCTGCATACGGAATCTCCTGCATATTTGGAAGATTCCCTCCAAGAGCGACTTGTCTGAAAGTTTCCGGGTTGGCGGTTTCGGCCACGTGCTTGGCAAGGCTTGGTTGCTAAAGCCTTTGAAAGAGTAGCAGTGCATGCACCTTCAGTCCCTGGCCTTGAAACCTGACGCACGCCAATCCCATTAGTGGTGCGCTCTGCAGCTCAAGAACTTGTCACCGCAAAACATCGCGTGGATTTTTGTTGGGTCGCCGGAGCCGGAGGGGGTCAGGGGAAGGGGGGATGAGTTGGCGGATCGAGGGGGGTGGGGGAGGGGGGAGGCGCCCCCACTTCTAAAGCATCAAGAATGATGGAAAACAATGGAACATCATGACGCTTGAGAAAACACGATGCAAAATGACAAAGGTCATGAAGCATGACGAACAATGCTCAGGTTTTTAAAGCGTTGCTATATGATGCCACATGGTGAAAGTGACTCAATCTGATGAGAAAAGAATGAACGTGATGAAAGTGATGCGAGCCGTTGACATGGTTAGAAAGACATCAGAATGCAGAGGTATGAAAATGGCAGATCACGCAAAATGATGGACCATTGTGATATGACAAATATGCTGGAAAATGATGAGCCATCAAATGATAGGGCATGATGCGACATGAAGCAAACTCACAAAATGTGAGGGGGGAAGGAGGGGGAGGAGCGCGGCCCGCGCCCCATGGCAAAGCCTGCGAGATCATGGAAATACAATGAAAATAATAAGAAGTGCTGGAAAACGAAATATGATGAACAAGATGAAACATGACGACGGCGATGAAACTCAAAAGTCATCAAGATGGTCAAGATGATGAAAAATGTTGAAACATCGTGAAACATGATGAAAACGATGAAGCAGGATGAAACCTGGTGAAATGATGCAAGATGATGGAATGTGATGAAAGATGTTGGAAACCATGCAATCATCGAAAACGATGGGACTCATAAACAAAGACGGAAAAGGACATAAACATGATAAAACAAGGGTAACAATGAAAAAAGGATGAACCCTGATGAACGATGACGAGCATGCTTAAGTATGATTAAACAAGATGATGTATGATGAACCGTGATAATATGTAATGGAAATCTTGAGTAATGACAAATCATCATGAGGCATGATACTCGTAACAGTAGCAATAACGCCAGTTGTAGTGAAATAGTATTCGTCATAAACACAGGAGTTTCGTACCACAACCTTCTTTGTGTATTTCTTTCTGTCGTGCCTTCTGTCTGTTGTGTGTCTGCCTTTCTTGCGTTCTTTTTTTCTCTGTCTCTTTCTTTCTATCTTTGGTTCTTCCGTTCTTGCATTCTTGGTTTCTTTCTGTGTTTCTTCCCCGCTCCCCTTCTCTAGAAGGAAAGAGGGTTCCAAAAAAGGACACAAGGGGCCAACAAAGATTAATTTCCCCAAAATGCCGGGGACGCGCAAAACCCTGGAAAACAGACTCCAATACCAAGGACCATGGGAAGTTACGAATTCAGACGAGTGAAGTGCTCAAGACAAAAAAACGCATCCCCTGATCAACTCCAAATAGCCAGCCAAACCTATTCCCAGGCTTAGAACCCTGGCCTCAGCTTCAACCACGCGAGTGGATGCCCCTGGCTCCTGCAAAGGTGCAGGGCCCATGAAGAACGAGCTATCATTACTGATCTCCCTGGAAGCCGAGAATCAGATATTTGTTTGTTCTAGGAAGTCCTAGTACTGACCATGAATGCAATGATCATGACAACTATTTTTGCAAAGGGGCTGCCACAGAGTGGGCCTATGGGGCTTGGGCTAACTGCCGAGTCAAGTCGAGTCTGTCACATAATTCGACCAAAACTGTAACCCCTAAAGCCATATCCTGAAAGCGTCAACTGAATCCTCAATAAGTTTCAGGCTCTGTAGGCTTGATGTCGCGTCAACCTTGACCACCTCCTTGCCTCGAGAACATGGCGCACACATGTCACTAGTGGTGCCCCGGTCACTTGAGATGGGCTCCAGGGGTCATAACCATGGAACTGGCTGAACAAGTGGTGCAACTTAGGCAAGTTCCAGTAGTAATCCTGCGGCTTTATCTGGGATTGACCCGAGACCCACATCTATCTTCAGCTGCCTCCTCTTCCTCCTCCCCTCGTTTGGACTCGAGCATCTCAAGCAATCCTTGTCAGACGGCACTGGAAAAGGAAGATTTGGGACGTCATGGCGAGGTACAGGTGGCATAGCCACGCATGGAACCCAAAACACAAGCAGTGGAGGGTCAGGGAACTTTTGGGGCACCTCTACCTCCGTAAGTGATCTTGTTCAGTAAGTCGGAGGTTCTACCCTCATGGAGTCGGAGCTTCGTTGCCGTTAGAAGCCAGCAAAATTTCGAAAGCCATATAAAGCCTTCGCACTAGCTACTATACTCAATTAGAAGCACGATGGAGCCAGCGGGGGCCGTAAAACTCATTCCATGTTCCAGTATAGGAGCCTGAGGCAGAGTTGAGGACAAAGGTAAATGAGGATTCCGGCCTCTTCATTTAGGGGTCGGTGGTTTGGCTCTAATGTTGCACTGCCTTCGCAATCACAGCTGATGGCATGTCAGGTAGCCCTTTGAGGCACGGCCTCGTCACAGCTTAAAGCAGCACGGAACAGTTGATCAGCTTTCAACGCCCTGAAAACCGACAGTCAGACGCTTCCTTTTGACTTTCGTCGCTGACCCTCCATCTCTGGATCGGAAACCGGCAGGATGAAATCATTGTGAAAGGCATCTGAAATTGAATGTAACAGCACTGGGAGTGTGAAGGAAGCATGCCGCCATTTCTTGAGGACCCAATGCTGAGGGCTTCTGTGGCTTGCAGTCGGAGCGTCCTTGGGCTCTCTTGGGCTCAGAGGTCTCAGTCATGAGCTCTGTGTTGACCTGCGTGTTCTTGGGGATGTTAGATGTGAGTATAATACTTGTTGGAATATGTATGGGGGCTGAAAAATCCATACAATGATGTTGTACGGATTTGCCAAGGAGTTTATAGGGAGCTGCCAGGGTCCGCCAGGAAGTGTTCAGGCAGCAAACTCCGGGACTCCTGGGGATTCCGCTCTCGAGGCTACGATTCCAAGTGAACTCGAAAGATGTGCCACAGTTTTGGGACTTCCAGACGTAGATTGTGGGATGCAGTATGGAATATCATCAGTAGGTCGATCCGTCAGTCAGTCAGTCGGATTGAAAGCAGCATACATGAGGCCTGCCCCTTCAAACATGCTGAGCACCTGGTAGCCCGCGACCTGTGCGACCTGTATTGTAGCCTTCCTTCAACACAGAAGATTCTGTTCTGCAGCGGGCGCCCAACGGACTTGGAGCGTGACAGCATGCTGCCTGGCCATGTCTAAAAAAACATGCATGAACGTCGGGACGAGGCCTCGAGGTGGATGTGCATGATCACGGGCACGTTTGTCCTACCTAGACCGGGGCAAGCAGCTGTGTTGCTTACGCCCCTGCACTTTGCATTGGGGTTCAAGACAGAGTGGAGCACACGTCCTCAAGCCGGACAATGTGGCTAAGAGGTCTTCCCACAGGGCTAGGATGCTGGAGTTGCACAGTTCGGAGGTCTCAAGGTCATGTTCACTGGGCATTCGGGCGTTGGGCCTTTCAACGCTCATGAGTGTGAGTGAGTGAGTGAGTTTGCCGGGATCCTCCTTCGCCCTCTCAATCCTACCAATACTCAAACTTCCCAGAAGCTTATAGAACTAAAGCCCTTCTTGCCCAACACCACGAACCAAGGGACTTCTATTTAGGGATCTCCAAGTTTGAGAAACACCCCTAACATTAGGGACTAGATGCCGATAATGACCCCTAGGTAGAAACTTACGTACGTGCACTAATAAAGATAAACTTATACATGCATAGTAGTGAGATATATATATATATATACAAACACATGCTTGCTATGGGCACGCAGGAAAGGGCCCCTGTTGCAGCAAATTACCTGGTAGGACAGGTTTGCACGAGGCCTGCGTCATGGAGAAGCGCTTCCACCAGACGCTGTGCAAAGATGGCCTCACAGTGTGGGAATCTGCGGGACTACTGTTTTGAGCTTCTCCGGGTTTCTGGAGGTTTTAGGTTTGGGTGTCGTGCTGCGAGTTTAAAGACGGGACAGGGGCTCTGGCTTTCGACTGGCTTTGGTTGAGAGCTATGGAAATGGAGCTGGGACGTATTATAGGCGTGGGTCTGCCTTGAGTACGCAAGTGCCAGTCTGGGACTTGGGTTGACAGGTTGCGGGGTCGAGGTTTAAGGTGTGGCTGAAGGTTTAGCGAGTTCTAAAGATAGTAGCGGTTGAGATCAACAACCAACTTCATCGTGCCTCGCACCTGAAACTGCATTGGAGTCCGGAGCTTGATGCAGGTCTGGAGCACCCAGAATGCAAGAAACTCTGCGACTAACTTCCAAAACATTGCCACATCTCAAGATCAATCAGCAGGTCTGCATCTCAACCACCAGATCATGACCAGAAGACCTTTTCAACTGGACACCAGTTTGCAAATCCCTGATCACATGCACTCATGCCGGCCTTTCTTGCTTAACTTGTTCCAGTTCTAGTTTGGGGCCAATAGGTTGCAGCGGCGTCTTCGGGCGGCTTCAGAATACCACTACAGTCGAGCCTTCCAGCCGAGGCTCTGGTGGGACCCGTCGCATTGTAGCCAAGAATGAGCTTTGCGACTGAATACGTGCACCCTCAATTTGCTACTGTAGCACAATCCTCCGTCACTCTCCAGCAGAACGTGGCAGGCCTTCGAGTCTACCAGTGCTGCGTCTGTGCACTTGGTGACATCCTCACACGAAGCTGGTTTGCTCTTGATGAAGGTTAATTGTAAAGCCATCGACAGTTTCAGACGCCTGGGTGCACAAGGAAGTGTAGGAATTTACCTCAAGCCTTGAAGAGCACCTTCATACACTGCAAAGACATCGAGAGGGGGGTTCCATCCTTTATCGGATAAAGTCTTGTTCTGGATCCTACGGCCTGAATATGCTGGGACCTCTCTGTGGATATCCCGAACCTGTCCTAGGAATAATTGTCAGCTCCGATGACCTGTTCTCTCCATAGCCTACAGGCCCGCTCGCTATGACAATAGAGATAAACCACTAGAAGGAGAAAGGGGGAGTGATTGACTTACGAGTGAATCAACGGCTTCCCCATCAGAATCCTACCCGGGATTGCTTGATTGTCTGGTTCAATCTACAGTAACGTTGGCCTTGAAGCTTTGGTGAGTTCAAGGTCTTGGGCTACCAGATGCAAGCATCAAACGCACCAGCATGCAGACTTTGGCACGTCCGTGTCAAGCAATCAATGGTACCGCTCGCAAGGGAAAGGGACGCATCCAATCCCGTTTCCCACACACATCAGCCGTGTTGAGCTTGGTTTCAAGTCAGGCGTTGTCTGACATTGCCTACCCCAAATGCGGACACCACATTTCGAGACAACCCACATATTGATGACGCGCTGATCTACGTCTCTGGCTTCATGGGCAACGTGGTAGAGCTCCCTTGCAAAGCGAAGGCCTCCATCCCCTACCGAATCCTAAAAACCTGGTCCAACCCAGGAAGCAACATGACCCCTAGACTCTGATCACATAGAAATCCTGTTCAGGCACAAAGCTTTACGGCGAGCCAGGGTGCCCTCTGATAAATGACCACCGACTTCGCTCTCACATAGCCAGCACGCTGCAGAGATAATGGCGAGAAGGGGACCTTACTTCCAGAAACGCGTATGGCTTGGGGAAGCTGGAGAGTTTGGAGACTGATTGTTGAAGCATCAGGATCTGAAGTGCAAGCTCAAGCAAGCTGACAGCCTCTAGGGTTTGTGAATTCAGGCTCTGGTGTAGGCAGCAGAATTCAACGAGCAACGGGATGGGATGGAGGAAATGGGAAGAAATGAGAGGAAATGAGAAACATTCACAATCCTGGCTGAAACTTGGGACTGAACCTTCAATCCACGGGCCTCTACATTGATGCAATCCTTAATTCTAGTATCGGTACCGTCCTTGCGCCAGCTTTCAGGCGCTTGGGTTTCTGCAACCCGTTACAGCATTCTTTTGCCACCCTTAGTCTTACAAGAGTAGGTGTGGTGAACGGAAGCCGCATGAGAATAGGGGATAGGGGTATGCTACATCCACTGAACTCCTTTCAGGCCAAGTTGCTCCCAACACCAAGAACACGGAGGGCTCATTCATGATCCTCGCCCAGTCGACTGGCACTCTGCGTGATAGAACAACCTTGGATTGCTGCTTGGACCGATGTCTCTGCAAAAATCAAGTTTGTGGTTTGGGGTGCGGGAGTAAGCGTGCCAAACATTTTCCAGTCTGTTGTAAAAGAAACTATCCCTGCAAACATCGCCACTCACTTCAGATTGGGTGAATGTCATTGGCAATGAATAGCGCCGGCATTGTGACAAGCATGAAGTGCATAGATTTCCCAGATTTGCAGCTGAGGACTCGAGGGTCCAGTTTCAGGAGGCAAATAGATGCAAGGTGCCCAGTATTTGCCCCCTGCACTTGCTCCGGTTGGTGTCGAAAATTATGGAAGCCAGCCGTCATGGGTACCCTTCAACTGTAGAGGCCAGGTCGAGTTGAACAACATGCTGGACAGCAGGCGAGGCCTCAGTGAATGTGGTCCGAGATATAGGCTGGATTCTGCCTATAGCTAAGAGGAAAATTCCCCTCTTGTCCTCGTCTGGGAGACATAGTGTTTGACTCATGGAAAGACTAGCCAAGCAGCAATTGGTCTTCGCTTGCGCTGACACCTCCCAGAAAAAAGTGCACATGCAAAATGTCGCCTTTAAGAGCTCAGGGTTGACAGACTGCTAACCGCTGCACGCAAGCCAATGATTACCCAAGCTCACACTGACGCTGTTGGGAAACTCGTGTTAGAGTAGAATTGTAAGCGGGCAGTCGTTTTGAGGATGAGTTGAGATCAAGATCAGAGCGGCCGGCAAAGCATAAGCTCTTGACAAGACTGTACTTCTCCTGGCCACCCTCCGCTGCCCTTACGAACTTCATGAGGTACCGGATACCATCGCCGCATTAGAGGAATCCTGGTCTTGTTCGTCGACTCTGCCACCTCTGTCACCCTCCGATGCTCATCCCAAAACTAGATAGTAGTTTGAGATCTGTCAAATGACCCTCTAAAAAGGGCATGTCGGGTACGTTAAGAGCCGCCGCACGGGCAATCAAGGGTTCCCGCCCCTCTTATCTTACTCTTCACTTTGAAGCCCCGAATCCTCCCGGACCCAAGGTAAAGCTTTACCCCCGAATACACCTACTCCTCTGAAGCTTGAGATCCTGAGGCCAGTGGGTGATTGCTCAATGATCCATACAGATAACTACTTGAAATTGCGCTTTCCTGTCTCTGGAACAAGAGGCTCTCATGGTCTCCATTCCAAGTGTGTCCCAAGAACGGGGCCTCAAGGAGTGAATGAAGGTGGCCAAAGGGAGAGCGCGCCCGGGCCGCATCCTCAACGTCTTCATGCTAAATCCAGGTAGTGCTTTTGGAACTTGAAATTACTAACTGGCGGCTTGAAGCCAGAGCTTGTGGGGGGCCAGAGGGCGGCTGCCGACGTTATGAGCCCGTTTTTGAGAAAACATAGGTCGGAACCAAGTCCCTTGTTGAACCCAGGTGCAATGATGCAGACAAGTACTTGCCTTGATGCACACTCGCGGCCAACCAAACAAAGGCCAAATGAAAACTACTTGGAAAGAGTAGTTTGGAGATGCGTGCTAAGGCGGGTCGGGTGGTCTTAACATTTGCGCTGCTCAGCTGGTTCAGGAAGCAAGTTTTATCTAAGAGCTTCAGCAAAACTCACGGCCTGAACTCAAACCACCGGAACAAGACCAAAACATAACCTGGAAACAAGCAAGGGCTGTGCAGCCTCCACGCCACACCCAACCGTTCAGACCCGCCACACACTAACAGCGACAAGATTCGGCTTCCGCTTGCCGGTGGCAATGGCATCCTCAACAAAATCTGTGACAAAAAAGGCATTGACATCACAGTGCCCGCAGCACAGGTTCCGGTGGCTCAAGGTCGTAGATTGAAAGCTTAAGCTTTGATCTTCAGGGTTAGGGAATCGGTCTTGAATAAAGGATGCGGAGCAATCTGCTTCTGGCGCCTACTCTTGGCAGGGTACAAATACAGGCAGCCCGAAAAGACTAAGTCTAACATCCACAGACGGTCTGCAGAACAGGGACTCGAAACTATTCTTGCCGAATCCTAGCACATACATTGAAGCCCGCAAACTTCTCTATTGTCCATTGCATCAAATTCCGTGGGTCTAACAGGCATCTGAAGCTAAGTCGCTAAAACTAAGCCATCAACAAACTGGATCAATGGAGGGTCGAACCCCGGTAAACCCGCGCAGTGCAATCTTTCCCGGTAGGGGCCCACCACCTAGACTAAAGCGTTCTAACTGAAAACTGAGGAGGAGACCAGTACTTGTGAAATCTAGCACCAGCGATTGCCACTGCCTGCTTCCACTCCTATGGCTGCCCCTACCATCACCTCTACTCTTCCTCTTCCTACTCCTCTGACTCCCGCCTCCTCATCATTAGCCGCATCCTCCGGAAGGTCACTCTCCAGGCTCAACCTCACAATGGGTTCTGGATTCATACTGCATGTGCTCGTCGAGAGGCGCATGAATTGAGCAAAACGCCCTGCACCCTGCGTAGAGGTGAACCCCCTTCTGGGGGTCATAAGCTTGTATTGAAAATGTCATGATATATCAGGATTCTATTCGGACTGGCAGGGGCTTTATGTTGGGGGGCTGCAGAGGATTCCCTGTGATGGGGCTTGATGTTTAGTAGCGTGTCACATTATGTCGAGCGTAGTATGCTACCCAATATCTTGAGCTTACACAATGGGACCCTAATTTTGGTAACTGCTGCGAAGAGGGAACAAAGGCCTGCAGGTAGGTCAGGGGCTCAGATTTCCTGTGCATGGTTGCAGATCTACAAGTCTGGGGCTTAAAGACAGCAATACACAGCTTTGGAGGTTGGAGGCTTTTACATACAGCGTCAGCGCCTAGGAGAGGAGAGTTGGATTGTCTATAGACTATATAGACTATAGGGGCCGAAATAATTACCAATCTTATGGTTCGATATTCCTTGTATGATTATAGTATAGGGTACCTCAAATGGATAGTTGTACACTGTACAATGTACAGATTGCTCAAAAAGAGGGCAACAATCACACAAGCCAAAGCGCTCCAAGGCCCAAACACTCCCTGATACCCCCATGGCTTCAATCCCCACCTCAAGACGCTGCTTTGGCACAGCTTAATGAAATTTTCCAAATCCTGTAGCCTGAAGGCCGAACACCAGCCCCGCCGACTCTGAACCCTGCACTCCAACACCTGCGTCCTGACCTCAGGACCGCACAACTGCGAACCAACAATGCCAAAACCCCGAATCCACGACGATACTCAGCCAAAACTCGAAACCCCAAACCTGAGCCCTGAACCCATGAACGTAACCCTTATCTCAATGGTTCGGACACGATGCACAAGCACGTGCTCTCCTCGGACCAGGACCTCCTCGGGAGGCTCCTGCGGAAAAAATGACATGATGATTCGGGGTGAGGGCTTTCACGGCTTATGCCAGGGCATTCTACAAGGAAGGTTGAACCCTGCATACTGCTTGCAAGCCTTTACTCTCCCAAGATCTGAACTCTTTTGAGCCGTCCTTGGCATTTGCCCAGATTTTCTCCGCTGGCTGCACAGGAGCTCCCCACAGAACCTGCTAGGAGAGTTGGCAGACGACCCAGACAGCCAATGGGGTGCAATATCATGATGAAAAAAAATCTCTTAGCTCACGTCAGGTGAGCCTCCAATCTGGAGGGACTCAGTTTTCATGTAGGGGTCTGAAGCAAAGCGGTTCTGGCATGAAATGCCGGCTGCGGGCGCATACTTCTTGGGGCTCCATCGGCTTGTCATTTTGGTATCGGGCGTGTAGGAGAATTTGGTTGTCAAGGCAACCCTCTCCAAGCTTTCCAGGAATTCTTGACTGCACTGCGTACCCAAGATCACATGGGAGCGGACCCTGAGGTTGCCAAGTAATTCCCCATGCAACAGTATCAGTATCCCTAAAGCTGCGGTAGTTCACATGGTCACAGTGCCGCAGGAACCCCGTACATCAGAGATTGGTTTTCGTGGGGTCATGTTGATTCTGAGTGAATTGCAATCGTTACAGTTCCTACCAGCCCGTAGAATCATTGCGGGGCTTCTCACCACTACACTAAGAGCATGTCAATTGCTACAAGCACTCCCAGATCCGGACCTCGTCTTCGCGCAAAACGATGGGATCCGGGGTGCGCAACTTGACTTCCGCCTGCGTCCGCACACCAAGTGAATGTTTTCTTGCTGGCCTATGTAGTAGCTTGGGTTTGAGGTCCAACACAAAGGGAGTGTTTAACTTTAGTTAGCAGCCCCTAGCAAGCCCACATCAAATTTTGGCGTGTCCAGGGACAAACCTATACATGGCACTGCAAAAAACACTGGGTTTCGGATGGCATGGCACTGCATCTCAAATTGTCAGAATTCACGCTGCTACAGACCGGATCATTAAACCTCTTATCTCTCCGCGCAAATTCTACCTGCTGAGGCCCCTGTTAAACCATCTTTGTACTGCCGGATACCGAGGAGACATCACTTTGAGGGCTGAAACTCAAGGCTACTCTGGAACTGCCCTCTGAAGGATGGAAGGTACTGTCGCATGCATGTTGGGAGGGCCAAAACATCATCTGGCATGTGCCGCGTATTAGATGCAACAACTTCGCAGGTGGAAGAGCGGAAGGTATGGAGAAACACAATCGTGCATGAACAAATGTCCCTTAGGGAAACAGACCGTCCTGCGAAGTGAGCCTGCGAATAAGCAAATGAAACACCTTAGAAATATCTGAGCTGATAAAAATCAATAAGCAGACAGGGGCATCCTCAGCATAGTATGCCCAACACATCCAAAGAAAGCAACAAGACCTTCTCCGCAATCCGGGACCGAGAATCCAGAATGTTGTATATACGCTTGAAACCAGATCACAGACGATCATGCCATCTCGGATTCCACTTTGCTGGTTGTTCAAGCAAGGATGCGCATACAGCATGAAAATCTCACGCGCATCCAAACCCATACTAGAAGCCACCGTCAGCACAGCCATCGTGAATGGCGACTAGAAGGCCAACATC